CTTAAACACATCTGTAGAAGTTTCCTTCCCAGTCTTCGGGTTTATAACCGCTCGGCTGCACTTTGACAATGTTTTCGCTAATCCTCGACGATTTGTTGATTGTGAACGCCGCCGTCGTCGCGTGAAAACAACGTTTCAAGTAGGAGCACGACCATGACCCGCGGACGTCGCGCCCACCAAAACAAACGCCAAAGTAGGTACATACCTTTGGTGTGCCCTGATGAGAGCTTAGCGTCCCGCCTCTTCGCTACCCTACTAAACCGGGCAAGTGAACTCAGCGCGGAGGCGCGTGTCGGTTTGTACACAAACACGGAGGGCGCGAAATCCGGGTGATCTTTCTCTCGAGATGAGACGCCTGCATCGTAAATAGAGAAAGACGAACAGGTTGTTAGAAGCAACTAGCCGCACGAAGTAGGCCGCGGCTTTTTTGAGTTCAAAATGTTACTGACCTGCAATGAAATGGGCACTACAAACACGCGAGGTGGCAGATGGCTGCCAAGGCGATCCGTCCGGGTTTTGTCGGCGCAGCGCTTGGATCCATTTCTCGCGCTTCCTTGGGTGCCGTGTCGCTACGGGGAATCGAAAGAAGCTCACGTTCGGAGCGTTTTTGCTACTATTCGTGCAGCCAACAGCTGCACAGCGCTGAGGCATCGCAACTGTGCTCGATGTACACACGACTAGCGATGCGCGCTGAGCTTGCAGGTGGACGACGAGAGCCACCAATAATGTCGCCTCTCCCTTTCCTCCCCTCTCCTAAATTCTGCGCATGCGCACAACAATCTCTGCAAAAGGTCAATTAGAAAAATGGTCGCATCGAACTTGTCTCAGCTTCAAACTTGGCCTCTCCGTTTCTTTGTTTTGACGGAGGCGGTTGTGGTCGGCTTTTCGGTGTCATCTTTACTTTCGACGTCCCTTTGTTATTACACCCTTTTTGGAAGCTTTGCTAGGTCGGAACTTACTGCTCAATGACAAAACAAGGCTCATTCTGTGGCATGCAGACATTCACACCAAGATGCTAAAAAGCGTAGCAGTTATGTTTCGTCTATTGGGGCGTCTTCTTTGTTCTCAATCTCTACCTCAAAAAGTTTTTTTTCTTTGGGGCGGCTTCGAGTACGTATATATAGGGCCAAAATGTGCGGACCTTTAGATAGCACAACCGCATTTCGTAAGATGGAGCTAGCTAAAACCCAGCGTGCCGCTCCCGTGCTTCTTTGCGAAGAATACTCGTACACGCGTAGCCGAGAATACTCCAACGCTGTGTACTAGGTGTGTAGAGATAGAAAGCATTGCAAGGTTAAAGTAACCACCCTCAGATGCCCCATGAAAACGTGCCCTGCTTTACGAGTTGGCTTGAGATGAAAAATAAAAAAAAATATTTAGTTCTCCTAAACCCAATATTTTCATGTTTCAGAGTGGCTAGTGAGTTTGCTTCCCATGGTAGCACGAGCGCGCACACCCAACCAAAGCACGGCCTAAGCTAACATGCGCATTCTTTACTTGTCGCCGACAATACACCATTCTCAGGTGCGGCCCAGCGTGTGATATTTACATATCAGTACGTGCGTTTTCATCGCTTCGGAAAGCGAGCAAAGCACGCGACATACGTACGAGCTCTCAAGCCGCCAGCTTAATTAATATTTTGCATTAGTTATCCAAGCCGAATTGCAAACGCTAGATCGGCGAAAAAGGTAAATTGTGACAAAGTGGACAAGTGGTCAGTTGCCCTCTGTTACGACTTCCCCGTGTACGAGATGCCCTATGACAGCTTGCCCTATTTGACGAGTTTACCTATGACGAGTTGGTTGCGAGGAGTTGGCTTGTGACGAGTTCTCCTAGATCCCACTTCTTCATATCCATAATTGGATTTTAACGCAGATTGTGTGCTATGAGCCGATTCCCATGGAGTTTTGTAGTGGTCGGATGTGACGAACAACGATACGGCAAAGTGTAGCACGCATATAAAAAAAAAAAAAAGAAACCTGCTGTCTTCAGCCCGGATTTCAACTCACCACCTTAAGACTGTGGAAATGTGCTTTGCCGACTGAACTATCTCATTTTTTTTTTCTTTATTGCTTGAACTTTTTAAGGTCGACGGCTTTTTTATATATGTTTATTATCTAGGCTTTGAGGCTTATACCACACAAAAGTGAGCTCTTTGGAGCGGTGGGTGAAAGGGTGGTCGTGGGCTTTGCGGCTTTTCCTGTCATGCTGCGCCATCTCACGGTCAGAAAGAGGAGCAAGTCTTTGGTTGGCCGTGCCGTTTAGACGTCCTCCACTTCTTCCCGTGAATTCCTATCGCATTCTATGTTTACGAGTATTTTTCAGAATGACCAAGCTTGTATAGCTCTTCTTAAAATCCTCTTCTTTTTTCGTTCGTTTCTGTAACTTCAAGCAAAGCCTTCCCCAATACCAAACAACGTCAAACAATTTCAGTAATAGCATGATTCCTCCAACTCTCGTTTCATGGTCAACGTCAACACTGATTGATCTATTTATAACGAACGACTGTGGAGACTACATTAGTGCTGGTGTACTTGGCTATCGGTTAAGCGATCATCTCCCTATAGTTATGTTCATTAAAAAAAATGTGCCATGTCTATTAACCTTTCAGTAATGTCCCAAAATATTAACGCTAGAACACTCGAAATGTTTAGAGAAAAAATCGAGGCTATCAACTGGAGCAACGTGTTGAGAGAAACCGATGTTGATGAGTGCTATAACCTCGTTTTAGACCTGATAAAAGACGCATACTATTCTTCGTTTCCGTATAAGGAAATTCACTGTAGTAAGAAGTGCAAAAAACCAAGGGTTACTAGATGTCTCTCAAGACTTATTAAAAAAAAATAATGTTCTTTATGGAAATTTTCTTAGGACACAAACCAACAAAAAAAAAATGTTGCTAGAATTAAAAAAAAATTAGTAACTTTGTCCATATAGAACTGAAAGGAGCTAAACACCGCTGTTATGAAGATGTATGTGACATATCTTGTTTAAAGCAACCCGAAGTCGTAGGGAAACATCTGCGTTCCTTAATACGGAATCCAATTTAAAATAGAGCAGTCACTAGTGTAAGTATAGGCGATAGAACTATTTTTAGTGTAGAACTTTCGAATATGTTGAATGATTATATTGTGAGCGAGGGGAAAGGCACTTATAAAAGTTCTGCAGCAAATAATATCCCCAGAGTAAACTAAACAATGTTCTTAAACCCATGTGATACTAAAGAAGTACTATCTACTTTCATGAATCTAAAAAAAAAAAAAAAAAGTCTTAGCCATGACTGTGAGGATCTTCGAATTCGGGCGGTGAAATTTGTACTTGACTAGCTATTACCATGTATAACTCATCTATACAATCTTATATTGTCTTCCGGAATATTTCCTAGAAGCATGTAAATTACGAAAGTATCCGTAGTGTATAAAGGTGGTGATTAAAATCACAAAAGTAATTATTTGCCCACTGTCTTTTCGAAACCGATTGAAAAAGTTGTGCATTCTCGACAACTACATTTTTTTTAAATGCTCCTTAGTGACTGATTCTTAGTTCGGCTTCAGGAAACATAAATCTACAGGAACTGCGTTATTGGTGCAAAAGGAAATGATACTAGAAAATTTTGAGAAAAAAACTTCTAATGTTAAGTGTATTTATAGATTTAAGCAAAGCTTTCGATAGGATAAATCACCAAATTCTTCTAAATAAACTAAGACGTTATGGCATTCCATATATCGCATTATCGCTCATAACGTCTTATTTACAATATCGATCCCCATATAATCAAATTAGAAATTATGTATCTACTACTGAACCAATTTACTCCGGGGTTCCTCAGGGTAGTATTCTAGGGCCTCTATTGTTTTTCGTATACGTGAATGATATAGTAAGCATAGAAAATTCTGCTAAATTTATAATGTACGCAAACGGTACTAGCTTTTTTTTCAACTTCCAAAGAAGACCTATTTACCTCTATAGCAAACGTTTTCCTAAGTAAATAAAAAAATTGAATAAATATTAAATCTCATTCTTAATACCGCTAAAACTAAGGCAGTCTTATTTCAATGTCCTTGATGATATGTTCGAATATCACGCGGTTTGTATTTTTGGTCATTCACAATAGCATGTGTTGATATCATTAAGACTGTGTTATATTTTCTAGTCACATGTCGTAAAAAATCACGTAACGTACATTCATAAAAAAAAAAGCTTTGCAAAGTTGTCGGGAATATTAATAAATACAGGCTTATACTCCCAATAAACATCAAAATATTAATTTACAATTCCCTTTTTCTTCCGTAATCTGCTATTCCCATTTAGTATGGGGAACAACTACTAAGAGCAATTTTGACAAATGGCGTCTTTTACAGAAAAAGACTAGCTGTTAGAGTAATTGAAAATGTACCTCGTGATTATCACTCTCCTTCCTCCTTTTGAAAAACAAAATCATTGAAATGTGTAATATGTATTCCTCTAGATTGATTTTAAATTACCAACAATGTCTAAGAAGTAATATTAACATAATCTTAGACATCGCTCAACTAGAAAAGACAAGTCCAATTACGCATCGCGTCATAGTCCCCCCTGGCGTGTTCCTGCATTTAAAACAAATTTTGGCACTCAGAGATACCTCTACCAATTACCGCTGTTGTTAAACGGGCTTTTTTATCGCGACATTGATATATACTCTGTAAACAATCGTACCATACAAGACATTTTGTAATATAAAATCATTATTCACGTTTGTGATAGCTGCAAATGTGTGTCTTTAGGTGGATATATATCTCTCCTTTGTGACTGTTATATACTTTTTTTTTTTTCTTCTTATTCATGTCAATGTCGCGGTGGCCTTGTATTAGGGCGCCGGGAACCGTCAAGCTGCAAACGTGCAGATTTTTTTCCAGCTCTCTTGTCACGACTGTATTTTTGCGGCAGAAAATAAACTGGTTTGATTTGATTTGATATGCACCAACTAGCTCAACAAAGCATGTTACATTTTGACTTCTTACATTGTGTAGAGCATGACATTGGTGATGCCGTGCTCCGTTTCAAAAGGCGCGAGGCTATCGGGCGCATGGTCGTGATCACGACAGCACACGTCCGTTGCTCTCTCCCTCCCAAGGTCGTCGTAGTTCTTGGCGACATCTCCTGCTCCACACCACTTCGTCCCTGCACAGTGAAACACCCTGTAAATCGGAACCTCTCGTGGAAAGCACAGTTCCGCAAATGGGCGTGTGCACAGCCTAAAGCGACAGCGCAACAACAAGCCAGCAGCGGGGAACCACGTGAACATCGTTCTCCAGCAAGAATACTAAGGATAAGACGACTCCGGACACTCGCGTGACGAGTCGGGTTCCCGAACGGCTACAAATCGCAGTGTTTCTGCTCTGTTTTAGAAACCTTTGAGGAATACAGACTTCTGACAAGCATCCAAGAAGTCAGACCAACGAGGTAGTACTTTGTTTTTTTAAGAAACAAGCTTTCTTTTTTTTTCTTTGTTGTGTTTAAGAGCTGGGACGATCTGGTCGGGGTGAAAAAGTAAAAAAAAAAAAAAGGTATAAACAGCTTTTGAAGAAAAATAAACAGAAGCGCGTGTGGGCACGAACGAATGCTTAACCATAGAGTCACGAACAGCTTACGATGTATGTGGCTATTTATGTTCACGCTTCTATAAATTGGTGACTCTATTTTTGGCGTTTTTATCGACAACAATCTCATTCGCTGACGAGGGATAATAAAATGCTCGGGACGGGCATGACGCACTCTGACTCGTAAGCTGTCAGTGAGCATAAACGTTTACCAGGAGGACTAGAGTCACTGGGAGGAACGCTGAGCGTGGAGGGTCTTGACCATCTTATCACCACTTGGCAGCCATTCAGGTTGCGGTATCAGCGAATAAGATCGCCGAGTAACCAATCACGAAGCAAAAAGCGGGAATATAATAAGCCGCGCCCTATGTTTCGTGAGCTGTCGGTGCACCTACCCATGGAAGAAACGAGATGACATCCTGATTCTTTAATCGGCTTGTGAAGGATGCTCCGCATTGGAGTGCACAAATTACAATTCTCGCCGACACTGAACCAATATGTCAAAATGCTTAGCGTTTTTCTTCCATTTTAAAATACACCATTAGTCAATTCAGTGGTGCCTTAGGTCGAGCGTGTTGGTGAACAATCACACACTCATGCAAGTAAAAACGAGGTCAAAACGTGACATAGCCCTCTTGGGTGCCACGGGATGGTTGGGTTAAGGTCGTGGTGGGTGTTTAAAGTTATAGGCGGCTAAGGAGACTACTGACACAAGGCAGAGCGGCCGGCTGGCGACGGTTGTGGCGGGGACACCCTGCAGGTAGAGGTAAATGCTGGGTTCCTCTGATCAGCGCAGAACCCGCAAGTGGCGAGGTCAAAAACAAAACGACTGACCTTCGTTTCTTTTTATTTAAAAGTTCTATCATTCCTTAGGAGGAATTCAATAGGAGTGTCATATAATGAAATTACACCTAATTCCAGTAAAACGTCCATAGAATGAATGGGGTAACCTAATAACACTTAATGCATTATGATAAAGACTGGCTCGCGTTGTACGATGGGGCACTTAAAAAAACGGACCTTTTCATTTCAATGAACACGGGTATTTAGTTTTAAATTTTCACTTCTTAGTTACCTTCAAAGTCCTCTCCGCTTGATGCAATAAACAATTGTTGTTTATTGCATCAAGTAATACCCTCAAATAATCCTTTAAACTCAACGATTTCGATGCCTTTCCGTGCTTCTGCCGCTTTCTGCTTCACCTCTTCTACATCGGCCAATTGTTTCATTTTACGATAACAAAAGAGGGACATGGAAGACAAACAAAGAGCAAAAAAGAAAAAGAAACAATAGCCTATGCCCTTTGTTTCGCTTCCATGTCCCACTTTCGTTATCGTAAATTCGACAGCAACACGCTGAACCATCTACAAAATGTTTCCTTTTGAGAATTTGTTTCTTTCGGGGAAACAAAGAAAGTCACGCAGGGTGAGGTCGGGCAAGTAGGTTGGGTGGGTCACTGGGTTGATGACATTTTTAGTAAAGCTACTGCTGAACACTCAGCGGGGTGTGTCCAGATTAACAACCCAAGTTGTTTCCAGACATTCGTTCACCAATGCGCCTGCCCATACCGCACTTAATACTCATCAATTTTTAACCAAAAAGGCTTAATTTCTGTGCCACATTCTCACTAAACACCGAACCGCAACCTGTGTGACTTGTTTGTATCACCTGGTTGAAAAAAAATGTCTAAAACAAAGACGGTTTATCAATGTTGAAGCGGTCAGTGAAAAAAAAAAAAGAAAAAAAGAAAGCGGCAGAAGCCGCGAGAAGCATCAAAATCCAGTAGTTTAAGGAGTACTTTTATCATTGCAAGAAACGTCGCAACAAGTGCATTGCATTAGTCGGACTGTACTTGGAAGATGATTGAAATTTGAGCGTGTAAAAATAATGGCACAATTTTAAAAATAAATTTCTGTTTCTTTTGGACCCTCATATAATGTGCAGTTTATTGTCAAGAGTCTAAACACAATTTAACACAATTTTCACAGGAAAAATGAAAATAATATCTGCGTTTCATACATAAAACAAGAAAGAACTAATTCAACAATTTAGACTAGCCTTAAGAGCTGGTTTAGAAAAGTAATAAGCAGCGACACACTCAGGAACATATTTACTTAATTTATTCAAAACGGATATTGTACGAGTGGAAAAAGGAGTGTTTGAATGATGTGGTTTTGTTCCAAAGAACATTCAAGCAGGAAAGAACTTACGAAGATGACTGTCCAGGGCAGGAGTCGGAACTTCAATTGTACTGAGCGGCGCGCAAAACTATGGCTCCATGAATTATTAAAGTTGATGAATTCGAAACAATGTACTACAACTCGCTGATTGCTTCCGCATGCCTTAACTCCCATGGCAGTAGAAGAATGCAAAGTGACAAAAAGAGTGTCGATAGTACTGGGTGATTGTTTGTGTGGACGGAAAAGGGAGAGGATGGAAAGGTAGCATACGGTTTGATCTGCTTTGAAACACTAATAAAATGGTGGTGTATCATGCGTGCCATGTGGTTTGTAGGCTGTCTGAATTCGCGCAATGTTCGAGCTTGACGTCGGCCTGAAATGTGCACTTATAGCTGAGAGAAGGTTAATGGCAGAAGCTACTTTTGGACAGCACATTTTAAGTGATTTTGTTTCATGAGCACATTTTTTATGTACCATCGTCAAAAGTGCCTATGACAAGGCTCACTGGATTAACTTTGGAAGTATTTTCATGGAATAGGAGCGAAGAACAAGAATCGCGGCCCACGTGCCTCTTGTAGCGTGTAGAGATGCAGCAAAAGAAGTAGAAAAGAACATAAACTAGGTAGGACCCTAAGAGACCATGCCTTTTATCAAACCTTCGACTTTTCGTTTAAAGCATAACTTTTTATTGTCATTCTATCTAGTTTATAATACTTTAGTGTTTGCTTGAAGATATATAGCTAGCGTTTTTATTGCGACCTGCGTTGGCTTTTAGATTTTACGCGTTAATCTCAAATTCTAATTACTCCGGTACCTCTTTGGCTTATATAACACCTAAAGGTCTTGGCAAATATGGCATAATTTTTGTTTGCAATTTGTTGTGATATAACTTAGATAGTGATACGAAGATAGACGTCTGTAGTTTGAGGGCAATTTACCTGGGAGCACCAAGATCGAATGTTCCACGTTAGCGCATAATACGAACGCCCCTCGAGCCCGATTGTATTTTGTGATGATGATGCAAGAAGATAAACTGACACATCTTCAGGTTGGTAACATTACCAATTCCTCTCTGCATACCCGGCTGAAGGAAGAAGGTGGAGATGTAGTGTAGTGTGAAAGCGCAGTGCACACGCAGTGCAGAGTACTACGTAACATAAAAACTATACCGTAGTTGTTGTCTGTTCTATGGTGAGAAGCCGCTGGACGTCCATTGTCCGGAAGTTAAATTTTCGTGAGAAACATATTTATTGAGGTGGTTCACATAAATGATGGGGTCCAGTCTAAAGCGCCTCTAAAGCGGTGGTAATAGGAGCTCGACATTGTAGATCACGGTAGTAAGCTGTCTGGTGCTGCTAAATGAGTTCTGTGAATTTATGTCTAATATGTACGCAGAAACCTATCTGATTTTTTTTTCTTCCTAATAGGCGTAGCTACGGTTTTGTAACCCTTGATCTTGGATATCTGTATTTCAAATGCAACCTCTCTAGATAATCTTTCGCTTTGTTATATATTCGGGCTTATGATTTTTATTCAACCTTCTAGACCTTCTGAAATACATTTGTTTGAAATTGTTCTTTATTTCAAAACATTTGAAGTTTTGTCATAAAAAAACTGCAACTTCCACGGGACACCTTGTTACTGTATTTCTGTGATTTAGGAATAAATAAAATGGTTCCTTGAGTTTTGAAACCTGTATTCATGGTATGCTATTTAAGCAATACAAACAAATAAACAATACAGGTGTAGGTTTAAAAAAATTCTCGTTTTGAAATCCAGTATTGTTCACAAGCACGGTGTCGTAAAAATACAAACGTATGGAAATATGCTTTGTTGCTTTGGAGTATTTACGGTCCGCGCATATAAATATAAAGTTATTTCCGTTTCTGCCCGTACCTTGGTGGATTCGCAGCATTTGTACGAGAAGGAAGAGCCAAACAGCGTGAGAGGTAATGAAGATAAAAAAAACAGCACTGTTTCCGTTAAGCTCTAATTAAATTTAATCCTAAAGTTAAATTTGTTTATTTTTTTTTTTGTTTTTTTGTCTTACCTGGGAATATAAGGAGACTTTTTAAAGTCGTGGCGATGAAGTCAAAAATTGATTGAATCGGACCCTGCTGGACGTTTTCGTCCCGATTGTCGCACAAGTCCAAGAAGTACTGCATTTCGTCTTTTGTTACTTTCATTGCCATATCTTCTGGTATGACGTCCAGTACGGTGTCAATTAGATTCCTGAAAAATAAACAAGTAATATAATAGCACGTGTCAAAGGAAGGTCGCTAGAAGACAAGAATAGGCTACGCAGTACTATAACTTATCTGCTATTAACACGTTGGGTATATCACCTTGGCGAAAGGTGCCTAGCCATTGGAGAGGGGAAGCACGAAATGAGTGCGATATTTTGGAAGAGAGCTATAGAGCACGTCTCAAACGCGATTCACAGCCCAGCGAAGAAAAGAAGTAGCATTCAGAAATCAATTGTTAGAATAGTGATGATGTCTCGTATGTAATACTATATCATCCTATTTAAGTGGCAACGAACGCGTATAACGAAGATGGTTTTCCTAGAAAAGCATAGCGTCTTCCATTTCATTATGCAGCTAGTCTCCATGACATGTTATGTACATTTGGTACTATCGCGCATGCAACACGTCAACCTGTGGAACTTTAATGATATCGTAATTTATTCACCCAAATACTGCTGTTAGTATCACAACTGTCTATCCGTGGGGCCAGTTGCAATCTTTGTGGTGGAACGTGCAGCGAAGTTATGGGCTACAGACACCTGCTTTGTCGTAATCTCTCACTTGGCGAAAACTTCACCAGCTGGGACCCCGCGATCGAAGCGACGCTTGCGTCAGCTCGTCCTCTTTCCTGTACCATCAACCGCCAGGTTCGCGACAAAACGTAGAGTTACCTGATCGAACATGAGTCATACTTGGTTATTTCGTGTTTTTTTTTTGGATAGATCAATGAGATAAGGGACTACACACATCGATCGGGGATACATTCTATTGATGACAAGCGCAACCAAAAGCGTGGCTGTGATTGGCCTCCGATGACTGGCCAAACGCTCACTATGACGTCTAAAATATAATCAATTCTCCTTTCATTAATGGAAAATAAGAGGAAAGTCAGACAGTCAACTTCGATGGTGTTGATTCAAGGACTTGATGACTAGAAAGCATTCACCATACCCTAAAAATCGCCAGACACACACCGTATACAAATATACCGAATCAAAGAGCCTGTTTGATTACGCCACCGTTGCCGCAATGTATCGAGATAATTTTAGTCTTGCTGCACGTGCGACCCCCTGTTGTGCCCAGAGAATGATGAAGTAGAGTGAGCATATTACCGCGCGCATCGCCAAGCGAGCGCGTGTGTGGCCAAATGGTTGCAGCGCTTTACTGTCGCGCGGAAGCTCTAGGTTCCATTCCAAACAGCGGAATGTTCTTTTATTCATACTTTCAACTTGGCGTTCACGTAAGTTTGAGAACATTATCGTCTGATCAAGTTCCGAATTTTCTACGCCGAATGTTCGTGAAGCCCACGCGTTTACATACTGCCTCCGGCTCCGCGTGGCGAGCCGGAGGCAGTTTCGCCCCATCGTTTGATCTTGCTGTTTCGACGCCATCGACGCCTTGCGACGCTATCCTTTATCTATTTTGTTTTGGGCACAAGTTCGCCCCAATAAGCGTTTAGTTACTCCAGTTAACTCACCGCCTCATCCTTTGTCGTTCGTGACAATATAAACGAAGAAGGCAAGGCAACACCTATAGCTTTCGGCGTTCCTTCATTACTCATTCCGCTCTACCCCAGTTGGTGACGAGGGTAAACTGAATACATCTTCAATAATTTTGCAGCGCGTGCCACGCGAAGACAACACTGAGTCACGCAACGCTGCCACCGCTCCCCTTTTGTTTTGAACAGCTTGGAAGACCCGCGGTTTCATAAGACCGATGGCGGCGGATGTTGAGAATTACCTCGACCGCGTTGATGGGGCTTCTCTTAAGCCGAAGCAAGAAAAAGCATTGCTGCTACATGCTTTAGTAACTGAAGGGCAGCGAGTCTTGTTCACGTTGCCTCACGTCACTGCTGCTTCCAATGTTACACTTCGCGCCGCAGCTGAATCCACGTAAAACTCTACATCAAGATTGGACGTGTACCAAGATGCTCTTGCAACTCTGGAGGCACGGCATGCAGCGATGTACAACGTTGTCACAGAACGCCGCAAATTTCGCCAACGTATTCAAGATTTTGGTGAAATTATTAGTGAATTCTTCACTGCATGACAAGGACTTTCTCAGACTTACAGTTTTGGCTCGACACCAGACGAAGCAATATCGGACCATACCTTGCCTATAATAGAATAATACCGAGCAACTGCCTTCTTGGGTAGAAGGAGCTTTCATTACTCACGTTCGGGAACGACTACTTCTAGTAGGTCCTGCACTCAACCTTGAGAAAACATTAAAAATGCCCTGCAGCGCGGTACAGTCCATAAAAAAAGTTCAAGCAACAGTGGACACTGCTGCAGTTCTACAGAAACTTCGAAAAACCAGAGAAAAGAACTCAGTCCAAATTCTAAACAGACATTCACTCATCAGCAAGGTAGCAAAAATATGCCACCGCTGAGAATCAGCATGTCATTTTGCAAATGGTACTATGTGTTCAGCAAGGAACCAAACCTGCTCCAAATACAAAAAAGAGGGGCGTTCGAGCTCCGTTTGTTGAGGCGCAGCGTCAACAATAGAGGCGGTGAGTTCTTCTCTAACCACTAGTACCAGGAACTTCAGTTCGCTTGAAAAAACAAAAAAAAGCTGATCTTTTCACGGAGGATTTGGAAGTTGCAGAAGTTCGCAAAATCGGAATCTACGTGATAATGCCTGGAGAAGAGCAATATGTCAAACTCCTGCTTGACACTGGTTGTGCTGTTTGTATCCTTTCTCGCGACACCTACCAGAAAAAATGTTTGCACTAAACATCCTCTTTAACTAGTTATAGTACAATTTGAAAACTGCTGAAGGATGCACATCTCACTTCTAGGATGTTTTGTGGCCACAGTCACCTACGAAGGTTCTTAAGCACAACTTGTTATTTAGGTCGTGGCTCAAGGTACAACCTTCATGGGACGGGATAGGCTGTCTGCCTTGCGACTTCGCATTGGGGCATCCACCCTGCAATGCATGCAGACCTCTCCATCGACTTCTAACGATTTAAAAGCCATCGTTGACTCTAACTATGCTCAACTGTTCACTCCAGTAACATTTCTTGTAAAAGGAGACGAGCACTAAGTCAAGGTAAAGAAACGAGTCCCGCCGGTTGAAGTAAACATCCGTCGATTGCCTCTAACGGTTCAAAAAGTGCCTAAAAAATTCAACGATTACTAGACATGGACATCATTGAATCAACCAACGCATCGGAATGGAGATTAGACATACATTGCCTTTGTAAAACAGAAAGGCGGAAAACTACGAATCTGCGGGGATCTTCGTGCTCAAAACAAGACTATGATCGTCGACTGTTTTACTTTAACAAGAACGGTGGACTAAAGCCCTTTGGGGACCCTCCAGGACAGGCAGTAGCCAGGCTAATTTACGTGACGTCAGCGGGACGTACACCCTCTCGTGAACTATTTACGCGTTGCAAAGGAAATATGAATGATCACAAAAAGCGTTTATTCGCATCATAACTTGTATCCGACTAAAATAATTAAAATTACGTTTTAAAATGCAAAATGAATGAGACTGGCGTTCATAGTCTTAATCTAATAAAAAATGCAGAAATAATCAAATAATCAATCATTTGACTGTTTCAATCCGGATCCGGATGAAAGCTCTTGAAGAGAATTAATTCAAAGTGTAGGCAATGCATCGTTGAAAATCGGTTTGTAGCCGTAATCATTGCTTGCACGAATACAATACAACAAACCACCTAATTTAAAGATAAATCCTTGAATCTCATCATCTATTGCCTCTTTGTTATTGTTTTCTTGATTTATTGAGCCTGGCCGATTATAACCCCGATAGGCATCTAGCGGGCACCAATGAGAATTATACATTAGCGGCAAAAGCGAGATGCTTCTTCCCGCATAAAGTGTATGCCCATAACAGAAAAATGCCGACCAACGTTCTCATTGATTGAACTAAGTAACGCAAAAAACATTATTGTTTTTGCGTTACTTACGAACGCGCGTTGGCAAACATAATGTTTGTAATTGATTAAAGCAGCCATGAAAAGAATTTTTTACTTTCGTTAAATACTACTTAGAATCACTGCATAACGTTAATAGCCCAATCAACTTGTCTTACTTTTCCCTTATAGGCAGTGGCAGTCGCCAAACAAATTCGAGAAATATGAGCATCGTTCACACCCTCAACTCAGAGCAAGGACAAGCGGACACGTGGCATTGTTCTTATCCTATATGCCGTTAACAATATTCATAGCCACGCGCTCGGGTTGCCAAAGTAGAAAACGTGGTGTGAGTTCCAGGCATAGTTAGACATTGGCTACTCTCATTCCCGCAGTGATCGGACACGAGCCACTGCCCGAGTGTCCACCGAGGGTTTGATTGTTGCGAGCGGAAATCCAGTGCTCACGCAGTTTTCGCGCCCAATCCATGAGCCGCGCACGACTGGTGTTAGACGGGTGGTTTTGGATCCCACAATTACATCGTCAAGCTTTGCGAAGGCAACACTAAAATGAGAAGTCCCCATTTATCCTTGCAATTTTACCGCAGCGAAGAAGCTTCTGAATGACGAAAATAATCCCTGGAGAAGGGGAACAAGAGGGACAAAGGACAAACACAAATCTCCAAACACAGCTAGGTGACTGGTGTTTGTCCTTTGTCCCTCTTGTTCCCCTTCTCCAGGGATTATTTTCGTCATTCTTATCCAGCTCGCTTGCACCTTTGCATTTAATTGCATTATAATCAAAAGCTACTGAATCAGTGGTGATTCGTGCGAGTATACTTGAGCTAGATTAGGACCAGCACGCCTCTGCAAAGTCATGAACAATCCAACACAATATCGTTTTATTACCCTGGTAAAAAATCAAAGAAATATGCAAATATGGCAGGAAGTGTTCCAAAATGCATCTTCGGAGGATCGGAACACAAGGAGAAGTTTGCCAATCAAGGGGAAACTTATGGTGAACGCTCAGGGAACAAGCAAGGACGAGACGACCAAAGGGTCGCTGTCGTAAGTTGAAGTTCGGGGGGTAGGGGGAATTTCAATTCCACGTGGTCACTTTCAGAGGGAAAACAAACGCACGAGGTACGCAAGCAGCAAACGAACTTGCCCGCCGTATTATTTCCGATCGAAATGAAAACTTTCAAAACTAAAATGCTGTTTTGAAATAGCAGCTCTGTCGTTCGTCAAATAAGATCTTTAAGCCCACTCACTTGCTCCCAAGAGCATTGCAGCCAAGGACAGTGTCATTTGAATCCTGGAATATTTCAACCAGTCTGTGACCTCCGTCCTGTACGTCTGTGATGACCCGTTGAGTGACGCCGGGAATGGCTCTGCAACCATAAAATCCTTGAGGTATTACAACTTGACTTTTTTTTAAATTATTTTCTCTCTTAGCCAAATAAAAGTAGTCCCGTCATCATGATAGATCGCTTCTGTTCTTTACTTTTCTTTATTCAATAATTACCCCGCAGTGCCCAAAGGCGTTACAGCAGAGGGGTTTACAAGGATGAAAAGAACATATTTTCATATAAACAGCCCACTTGAACTTCAAACAGCCAATTCCACTGTGCAATCGTTCGAACAAAAAAGGAATTCGTAAACATGCATGTCCTAGTGCGGTACTCTCTAATTTCAAGACTATGATAATTACGACTGGAGACATAGTAGGGTTGTTTTAAGTAAGTTTCGCAATTTATTCCTGTTTTGTTTTTAGTTATTGAGAAAAAAAATTTTAGTCGCAGTTTCCCGACGTACGGGAAGTGGTTCCCAGAGTAACATTTTGTTCATTTCTGTACAACTTTCTTTCCTCCCGTATCGTCGGAGAACTGACCTAGCCGCCCTGGTTTGTATTTTCTCCAGCTTATCAATCAACGTTTTCTGGGCTGGGTCCCAGACAGCACATGCATATTCTAAAATGGGTCTAACACATGTTAAATGAGCAGTTGTTTTCCGGTTATGTTGTAGGCCTTTTAAGTTACGTTGAAAGAAATTCATTGCCCTGTCTGCTTTTAAAATTACATCTTGTATGTGGGCATTACACTAACAGTCAGATGACAATATGACACCTAAATATTTGTACGTAAGCTCCTTTGTTATAGGGTTATTATTTATAAAATACTAAAACTGAACTGTTTCCTCTTTTTTGTTAAACAAACATTAACAAACTTTTTATGATTTAAATTAATTTTTTTTTTACGTAGAGCACCAACTATGAATACGATCAAGGTCTACTTGCAACTGGGCGGCATCGTCTGAACTCTTAATTTTTCCATACACTACACAATCATCGGCAAACAACCGAGTACGAGAGGAAATTCCAAACGAGATATCATTATTATAAATGAAAAAAAAAGTGGATTCAGGACGGAGCCCTGTGGAACTCGTGATGTTACATCAACATAATCGGATTTCTTTTCGTTCTACCGATGTCAATTGATGTGCTACACATTGACGACGCTGAAACAAGTAATTTTCTCTCCGTCTAAGCACATCCGAGTCTAGGCCTAACATTCTCAGTTTATTAAAAAGGAGTGACTAAAACCGTGTCGAACGCGTTTCGAAAATTCAAGAATATACAATCTATTTGCCCTCCCTCGTCAACATCAGATGCAAGATCATAATAAAATTCAACAAGTTGCGCAGTACAAGAGAACCCCTTACAAAAACCATGTTGTTCTTTAATCAGTAAGTTCTTTGTTATCATATGACCGATTAACTTAGAATATAAAATATGTTCGATGATTTTGCATTAGACGGAACTTAATGAAACGGGGGCCTCTAATTTACAACATTCTTTTTTCACTCGCATTTCTGGATAGGAACGACATGAGCAGCCTTCCAGTCATCAGGCAAAAGTCCTGTGTCCAGTGACTTACAATAAATTAAATAAAGGTAGACCGAAATTGGGTAAGTACACGCGTAGAAATGTCATCCGGTCCAGTTGCTTTTGTCTCATCTATGTTTTTCAACGCCGTCTCATTACATCTCGCTCTAAGTTCATTGGTTGCATTAATTCCACCGTGCTAACAGTAGGTGAATCGACAGAGTTGTGTTCGGGAAGAAATACAAGCCGAAATTAATTATTTAAGCACGTTGCTTTTTCTGTATCATCCGAAACTGTCTGTTGATTATATGTAATTTCACTTATTCAAACTGCGTCTGCCCCACATCCCTTTAAATACTCCCAGAAAGCTTGGGGTTGGTTGTTATCTTGTCGTTGAGTATATCAAAGTATTGTTCCTTTGCACTCTTTATGCTCAGTTTATATTCACGCGCAAGCTCAGCCAGTTTGTCAAGATGATTATTACTTTTGGTCTTCTTAAATCTAGCAAATGCTCTCCTTCGCTTTTTAAATATCCTAAGAGCACTTGAAGTTACCCATGGTTTCCTTCGTTTTTCAGCTTTCCAGAATCTATGCAAGGAACAGATTTATCCGTTAATTGAAGCAATATTTTCTTGAATGCACCCCATATAGTATGGACATCATATTCCTCAGAAAACTCAAACACGGGAAGGCGGTCAAGAAGCTCTTCAGAAATAGCAGAGTAAATGACCTTCTCAAAAAAAAAAAAAAAAACTTTTTTTGATTTGCGTGAATTTACTCCGTTGATTTCAGTTTCGATACTTGCTACAATAGTGCGATGGTCACTTATACCAGCGATAATATTAACGGTGTCAAGGAGGTAGGGAGAGCTACAGAACAAGAGGTCTAAAATGTTAATATTTCTTGTTGGCTCACTCACATACTGCTGAAGTCGAAACGTATCCACAATGTTTTTTTTCGTTTCAAGGTTAATTCGGCTACCATTTGTGCATACACAAGTGCCGTCCCTTCACTTTAAGTCAGGCAAATGAAAGTCTCCCGCAAGAAAAATTGTTTGGCTTGAGGCCTCAGAAACAATATCGTATAGCCAACCTTCAATGCTATTTGGTTTGGCGCCTTCTCTGAATCAAGAAATATTGGGTATTCCTTTTAGTGGCTGCTGCATTCCTCAATCATAAGCTATTACTGTGGTGGCGCCTGTGAGCCTAGTGTCCGAAGCAAGAAATACTGGGTATCCCAGGAAGCCGTGATCGCGTAACGTGCCAGTAGAGCGAAAGCTACGGCCCTGCAGCGGGCCAATCGGAACGTGACTGCGTATCACCGGAGCCCGCCTCAACTCCGAAGAAGTATCAGGCCTTTCGCTGCGTCCTGCTCTAATATGTGTGCCTTGCGCTCGTATACGTCGCGCATTTCGAAGCCTTCGGCACGCAATGTGGGGCTTATCGTTCGCCGTTTGCCAAGTTACAACGAGACAGGTATAACCATGCGCTCTCACCCTGCTGGCATCGTCTGGCCGATGCCGGCTGCCTATAGGGATCGGATCATAATAAAATTAAAATTTGGTGGTCGGTAATACGATCCGAGAACATAGGAAGGGCTATCAGGTAACGTGACTGTGGACCAGATTGATTCAATAGCGCCATGACCAAGTTTGAGTATGGATAATCTCAGAGATGAATGATCCAACAAGAAAACGCCTCCGCCGAGGCGTGACCTATTCTTTCTATAAGGAACGGACCCTTTCGGTAAGACTTCGAGGTAACAACTGATAGCATGCCACTTGGGTTTATAATACGAAGACATGTCAGGTATCGCTGCGAGCGCGCGCGTACACTCACATATTGGTTGATCACACGTGTTAGCAAAATAGCACATACAATTATTGGATGGAATCATCCATGAGCCTAACACAAAATAAGAGTCTCCAGTTCTTCTTATTCACAGCCATCAAAGTGAAATAAAATTAATGCTTTCACACGCAGTTGGACTGAAAGTAGAGTGTGATATTTTAGTTCACATCTTCACGAAGAAGGCTTTCGGAAATGCACAAATAAATGACGTTTTAGTAAAAATAAATTCTTTTAACAGACTGATAACGATGGCAGGGGTCAGGGATTGAAAAACGTGTACTAATTAGCTAAATAATTAGCCAAACTTAAATAATGAACTTTTTATTTATGAACTTAAAATAATGATTCCATTTGAAACTTACTCAGCGTGATTGAGTACACCTAAATCAGTAAATTTTAGGCCAACTTTTTAGGCAGGTGGGGAGCTCGAAGGTGTACTACAGTTTCCACCCGTGCAGCATGTGCAAGGCCGGCGATGCGAAAACCCCGATAATGCTCTTATTACTCATGTTTCACAGGCCCGACCTTGTACCTGCTGCGCTAGTGGTAACTTTAGCAGACGCCCGTGCTTTCCACGTCCTTCAGGGCGTCCCAGTATTCTCTGATTCAGCGGTTTTTGATTTCGCACACCAATTTTATGATTGGAAGCATACGTTTATTTTCAAAACAATAAAAAGTAATTTCGGTAATTTTTAAGGTCGTTTAATTTTTTTTTTCCAATCCTTAACGTGCGCCGCGGCTGGCAGTTTTTCCGGAAAAAGGTTTCTTTTTTTTTTGTTTTTTTATCTAAAACCCCCTACTTTTAAAAATGTTTGTAAACTTCTCTCAGAAAAGCGCGTGGCCTGGTTGGTTTACTCGCAGTTGACCGGGAATCAATTAAAAAATTATCTTAATTTAAACAGTTTGGTTGGTACACGCGTGTCAATAAATGAATTTTACGCGAAAAAAAATTATGGAGCAATCTTTGATGGCGCGATATTTATTTTGAACTCTGCGCGCAAAATTTATGACGTCACGGAATAGTCATACACTCTTTCCACCTCAACGTGATGACCAAGCTAATCCACCTCTTCTACAAGCGTCCAAAATGCAAAGAGAAAACAAGGGGAAAACGAGGTGACTACCCACTAAACCGCGTCTCGTGCCGTCAATATTTCTCTAACAATGTATTTTTTCTTGCGTAAACTTCATTTCTCGACAGGCGTGTCCCAACCAGACTGTTAAAAAATTGATTTTCAGTGTTTTTTTAAGCTACAATTATAATAAATACTCTATGAAATAAAAACGTTTATTTGTTGCTTTGTTACGCAACAAAAGCCTGAAATAAAATAGGCCTATACAAATTACCGAGGCAGACATATATTGTTTACCCAAAATTAAGTTCAGGAGAAAATCAGTGCTTAAAGTAGGCGTTTATCAATAGCTTTCAAGTTTTCAAAGCAATGTAGTGAGCTGGGATAGTTGGTATTCAGACGACATGATAAAAAAACAGCACTCAAAGTACCTGTCCGTTGTCGTGTCCGTTATGCGCTCTTTTTTTTTATTTATCATTAAGTTGTTGCTTAGATGTAGATAATTTAGTCCGTACTATGAAACTATGAGTCCGTTTTTCTAAAACCATCATCACAGGCATCACACTATCATCACACACACTATTTTGCCAGTTTGTAAAATATTTACTATTGTTCAAACTGATTATACAGCCTGATGGGTTCCAACATCAACAGGTAGTGTCAAGGGTCAATTTGGTCTGCTTTGTCTTTCATTCGTCAAATCTACGAGCTAAGTGGTATTTATGAAATACTATATTTAACAAAGGTGCTAGCAAAATGGCACCGCAATGTATGCATAGATTGATTGTAGTTTAAATTTAAGTTCAGAAGATCGCACGCTTATAAGAGCCCGGGAGGTTCCCGGAACACCGACGATTTATCTTGAGTCAATCAGTTCAGTGAAAGTCATAGTGGAGAATAAAAAACCAGATTAAATCATAATTTAAATGATGGTTTAAAAGGGCAGAGAAACGAAGTTACGCTACCGCGAGCTCTCTGCATCTGTCTGCCAAATCGACAATTCTCAAGGGCCTCTACAGGGCCAAGGATACTGTCACTCTTAAAAAAGAAACCGCTGCAGTTCTCACTCCTTTTAGGGTGTAACTTGCTGTCCCTGGAGTTAATCTCTAAAGGCTAGGAAAGTGACCCCTTCCTCTTGTGAGGAACTTGTTATACTTTATGTCAGGGTGCACCTGCACTCCCTTGCGGCGAAAAGCTTATCTCTAAGGGGAAGCAATAGCCTTTATATCAAGGGTGTAATATTACTTCCATTAAGAGGTAAAAGGGCGTACATTCGGGTTGAAGGTTTCACCCTTCTAGGAGTGGTAGCCCATGCTTGAACGATGTACCATTACCTCTTCCAGGATGCAATAGCAGTCAACCAGCTTACACCCTTTCTGGGGTGCCTCAGCATTACGAGAATACTAATTGGGAAACTGCCATAGAGGCTTGCATTAAAAAAGTGGCACCGATCACTACTCGAGAACCACATTAAACTCGATCTTGTCGCCACCGAGTCTCCCGGGGCGACCACTCAGCGAACTCCAAGGCTGCAGGTATTCGTTCAAAAGGCCGGTGGCGTCTTCTCGCAGTAGTCAGAGAATAGCACACGGTAGCGTGGCCCACTACAGTATAAGGGGGTTCAGGGATGCCAACTCCAGTCTCCCACGCCGACGAGCCGCGATTATTCACCGATGACAGGACGCACCCAGGTTTGTACTCGCGACCTGAACTCACAGGTGAGACATGGTTGTATAAAAGCAATATTAATTATGTCGCAAAACCATGTATACAAAAATTTTATTCAAACAGCACGATCCTGTCATTTTGTACTAATCTCAAATAGAATTTCATACGAAAGAAGCCCCTTTCTGTTTGTTTTTGCACAAAAACGTGATTTCTAAAAGCGAGAAGTACCAGCGTTCCACCGCCGAGGAAATTCAAAGGAGAACGACGAAATTGACGGAAGGGGGGGGGGGGGGGGGGGAAATCATCACCTTTTAAAAACGCCTTTCAAATAGGGGTTGCAAGTATCTATCTTCTTCGAGGAGGTATAAGCAAGGCACTTCCTTCCTCACCAGCTTGGGTATGTAAACGTTGGTTATACGCCTCGCAAGTGGGCTCATTTTCGTCTTCTGCGCATGAGAAAGGAAGTGGCGGTGACGTCAGAACGCCGAGCCCTGATTGGCTGATCGCGACCCCCTATATCAGCGTCGCCTGCTCCTTTGCAACGTCGTCTGCTTGCAACATCGTCTGCGTCTGTCTTACCTTTCCTGCGACTTTCAACTCGACTTCGTCTTTAAGAGAGGGCAGACCAAATAACTCGAGCGGTACGTTGTTTTTGTCTAACTAACAGACGCTCATCAAGGAGGGAAGTCAAAGGACTCACTGGCGAGGTGTCCCGGGGTGCCGAGGTTTGTTTGCTTAGAACCGAGAGTGAGCGTGTTAGTGCCCGCGAGTTCCCTTCCAAATACTTTTTCCCTCCATTCGTGTGCGGCGAGATCCCTCACTCTTTAACGGCGTCGGCGGGTTGGCGCAGTTAACGTCGTCTGCTTTACGTCTGCTAGTCAAAGCGATGGCTGCTTTACCTTTCCTCCGTCTGTCGGAGATTCACTGCTTTTTCACCGGCGAGAGTCACTGTTGCCTCGGGAAGCAAGGAGATAACAAGAGGAACAAATTGACCTCTTAATCTAAAACTAAGGTCAGCGATCAAAATATAATAGGGGAAGGGTTCACAAGGATCGCGCGGGCATATTCCATTCAGCACGCCAGCCGGTCGTGGGAAGACGGTCGCCGAGTCGCGCAGTGCCTGCTAGGCCTAACTGCCCAGCTCGTTTGGTCGCGTTCGGTGGAATCGTGGCCGTTGGAGCTTTTCCCGGGTGTTTGTGGATCCACCGTTCTTGTTCGTCATGGTCTGTTTGAAGTAATTCTTAATTTTTCTCTTGCTGCTTGAAGTCGGGACGTGTCAGAAGCGCAGGTAGAAAAATAAACGTCCGTGGATCGTCGTGACCGCGACGCTGTCGGCCATGCTGATTTGATCGTAAGAAGTGCGTAAGACAGCTTCGGAGCTGCCGTAGGATTTCGTCGTAACCTGCGCAAAACTTACGAAAATGTCGTTTCGTGAATACAAATTTGTTCTTAAGTTTTGTCTTACGCACATTTTTGGCGTAAGATCGTTTCGTGAATCTGGCCTCTGCGCTTCTGAAAGTCGCAGGAAAGGTAAGACAGACGCAGACAACATTGCAAAGGAGCAGACGACGCTCAGATAGGGGGTCGCGATCAGCCAATCAGGGCTCGGCGTTCTGACGTCACCGCTACCCCCTGCGCAAGATGCAGACGAACTTGCCCTCCGCATTACACCCTTTTGACTAACGTTATTAGAACCAACTCAGTTCTGGAACTCCGCCTCGGAGGGGGGTCCCTTTCCGTGGCGCCTGTTAGAGGGCGCGTGCTCCGCATTAATGCTCGCTATCATCATCATTGACGGCGCGCTTGTGGCCGTTGCATCTGGCCTACTGAGTTTACGGATGTTCGTGGCGCTTTTTCTGACAGTAGCAGACGACTTTCAAATTGTTTCTGCTGCAGTTGGTAGTCATCGGCACCTCTACTATTACAATATGTACAAACTTGCCCTGATTGTAGCCACTGTATTGTGGCGCCGACGAATTTGGGTTGTTCGAAACGCTTCGCGCTGTCAGCAAAGCTAAGGCAGCAGCATTTCACAATGATGCAAAGCGTATGCCAAAACGGTCGTAGCGCTTTTCATGCTCAAATTGTAATTTTTACTGGCGAAAGGACGAAAATTAACCAAAAACCATGCTGAACCTCGAGAAGAGTCGGGACTCGCAAGCAGCCGCGGAGCAGTAGCAGACGAAAACGCGTGGAATAATGCCCCGGCAGC